ACACCCCATCATACAAATCTGCAAATAACCTAAAACACAGATAATCTCCAGGCAACCTCCTTATCATTTCTTCGCCCTTGACTTGTGCACCTGAGATAGAAGTTAGGCACTGACAATAACAAGATTGACCTACCATTCCTCCTTTTCCCAGCAATGCAGATCTCCTACTCTTTAAATGTTTGACTGTCTGAAAATTCCTGCCATTCCTTTAATGCTCCATCTGCAGTGTCTTTTTCATTTACCCATGAGTTTTTGAAAACCCAACTATTTCGGGTCTTCCACAGCCACCAAAGGATGTAAGTTGTTAATTCAATTCTGTCCTTTAATGCTCCATCTGCAGTGTCTTTTGTTTGTTAGTGTGAGCATGAGCAAAATGGAGCTGAAATAGAAAACCGATATGGCTCATGCAAATCAGCATGGTTTTATTTGGTAACATGTAACTTCTTAAAAAACTTTGAAATTGTAGTTTTTTAAATAAATTCGTAGTGTTTATTTATTTTGTGGGAGATATGTTCTCTTGATCGCACTTGTATCTTCGAAGCTCGTATTCAATTATCAACCTATATTTTGTGGTGGTTTTAGAGATCCCGCAATCTGTGGAATTTTGAAAAAGATTAGATGCCGGAAAATGTAATCGTGAAGAAGGCCTGGACTGATTGGCAAGAATTCCTTGCGATATCTAAGGGAACTCCTACATATTGAATGAGAAGCTTTGTAGTTGGTGTTATCCTTAGGTTTTTTCTTTATTTTCTTGGTTCTCTTTTTTGCTTCCTTTTGTTTTTCTTGTTGTTGGTTTGTTTTAGCTTTCTTAGTTTGGTTTGCCTAGTGGAATGTAATGGTTGTGGTAATTGACTAGGGGTCCCAGGAGTTCTCTTCCTGCCTGTAGTTGATGCAACTATTTGGTATGTTTTTAGGGCACACGCACGAGTGTTCCTCCCAGTGTATTTTTCTCCCAAATTTGGGGTGTGTCGGCATGTAATGTACTTGTTTCTATTTGTTTTATTTGAGTCCTCTATCGTTAGAAAAAAAATAAAAATTCGTAGTTCTTTTTTCTAGCTTGACTTATCAGTCAATTTTAATATTTTACCAAACATTTTTTTATCATATCAATTAGCTTTTTAGGTCATCAGTCATAAGCTATCAATTATAAGCTTAAAATTCACTTATAAGCTATCAGCTAGCTTTTAGCCATCAACTATAAGCTATTCGTTATAAACTAAAAATTCACGTATAAACTTATAAGCTACTAGTTAGCTTATTAGCTAGGTTTATCATGCTAACGTGACATTTCATGCAACATGCATTGTTAAATGAAGTGGACTAAAATCAAAGACCTTTTTAATCAAACTATTGATCTACATCTAAAAAATAACTTGGAAAATCATAGCTAACAATTGGATTATTTTTTGACCAATTAAATAGAAGGTTGTACCTGAATTTTAAAAGTGAGATTCATAGTGAAGTACTAAAGCCTTTTCACCACATTCTAATTTGACTGTAAACGATGTCATCTTTAGCAAAATAAAATGAAAAACATTGAAATCCATTGCTTCTATTAAAACGAAGGGACAATAATTAGATTGTCCAGCCATGGTACATCATTCAATTTTGGATTTCATAGTTTTGGTTGTTTATTTGAATCAATCTATTTCAATTTACAGAGAACTAATTCTGTACATATATTAAAGATATGCTAAAAAAATGCTCTACATCAGGTATATTAAGGATTGATCAACATTCACATTAGCAAAGTTACATTTTTCGAAAACTTTTATAAAGTAAACTTAAAAGAAATAAACTATTCATAACCAAATCATAGAGAAATGTTATGAAGCCAATGGTTGACTCCTTTATGGAGCCAACCACTAATGTTATAATGCCACGTAGGTCATATGGATTTAATTATTTTTTCACATGACCTACGTGACACTATAATATTGATGGCTGGCTCCATAGCATTCCTCCCAAATCATAAATAAAAAAACCATGAAATATAGAAACTGTTGATTAAAATAAATAAATAATTCATAATTCATAAACAACGAGTTAGTATATTAAACTNGCGGCCCAAGTCATTTTGGGCTCCAATAGCCTAACTTGGGCCATAACCTCACATGTCCACGAACAATGTACTAAAATTATTTATTGAATAATAAATTAATTATTATTATAATAAAGTACTATTTAACTTTTTTGAGTTTTCTGAATGAATTTCTAAGCTCTGACAGCCCCGAGGACTCTCATCAGAAGGAACACTCACTCAAAGAGCGTGCAGAAAAAGAATTCGAAAAAACATTGAGATAAAGGAAAAAGAACAAGAAGAAATCGCAGTAAGTATCCCTATTAATCTCCTTTTTTTGCGAAAAATGTTCGCGGGTCAGTGATTGTCCGTATTATATATCTTATGTAAATAATCTTCTTGTCGTTTGATCTCTGGGTTGTTTAAGGGAAAGTGGTTTGCTAAATGAAAATGCATGTCTCGTTATCTACTTGTTTTGCGTCTTCATTTATTTTTTTCTCCATTTTTTTTTGGTTTTGGAGCATGAGCTGAAGTGGAATATTGTGTTTAAGGGGTATTTCGTGTAGATGATGTTTTTGTAGAGCTCGTTGTGTGTGTATGTGCTTGTTGCTGCTAAATAATTTGTGGGATGTTTGGGTTTAGGGTTTTTTGCCAATTTTTCAAGTGGATTGGGGGGAAATGTTTCGGGTGGTAGCTTTTGTTGTCAAAGGCTGTGTTTTTAGCTAACCCAGTTCAGTTTCCACTATTCCTTCTCATTGCATGTTGTTTTCCCTTTCACCCCTCAAATGAGGAGGATGCATGTGCCATTTGATCATCAAAAGCAAATAAAAAAAGAAGCTCAAAAGTCTTGCATAATGAAATTTGTGTGGTTAGACTTTCGATTGTACCTTAAGGATGCTGTCTCAATCCCACTTAACCTCTGTTTCGGTGTGTGTATGTGTGTTGGATATTCACCCTTTTTTTCACAAGGGATGGGTAAATTGACTTTCTGAAAGACAAATGTTCGAACTTTTTCACTTGTTCTGTTTCGATCGGCACTTCTCCTTACAGATGGGCGTACGGGACTTTCTAAATGAAGCTGGACCAAGCGAAAAATATCCAAATGGCTCCACCAAAATGGACCTCGATGATGACATCATAGATTTCGACTATTCTTCTGATGACGAGCCCGACAAAAATCCCGTGCAGGGGCTCGACGAAAGTTCCCTGAAAATGTTCGTTAGGAAAGCTGCCACTTCATTTTTCGATCAGTATGGTTTAATCTCCCACCAGATCAATTCGTACAATGACTTTGTTCGGCACGGTATTCAAAAGCTCTTTGATTCCATTGGTGAGATCAGCATCGAACCTGGATATGACATTTCGAAAAAGGTTGAAGATAATTGGAGGCGTGGGTCCCTCAGGTTCGGGAAAGTTACTCTCGATCCCCCGATGTTTTGGACGGGTGAGAAGTTTGCTGCTGTGGATGGTGCTAAAGAGCATTTGGATCTTTACCCGAGGCATGCTCGTCTTCAAAACATGACCTATTCGTCTAGGATTAGGGTCGAGGCGTATCTTCAGGTCATATATATTGTGTATAATCTATTTTTCGTTCATTTTATGGTAATATGATTAAAAGGGTGTGCTTGGATACAAATATTCCGCTCAAAACGGGTTTTTTTGGTTTACCAAAGTTAATTTTTGAATGAAAAGAGGTGGTATGGTTAGTTGTTAATGGGATTTTGAGTTTATATTAAAATAATATTTGAAATAAAATAATGAAAGTTAATTTGATGTAAATGTAGGAGAGAGATGATGTGAAGAGATAGTTAGTTAAAATTATATGAGTGAATGGATAGTGAATTAAAGTTGATGTAATGTATAAGAATGATTGATTGCTATTATTTAATTATATTGATACTATTGATGATAGTGGAGTTGTGTTAAAATTGGGTTAGATTTTGAGTATGAATTAAGTTTATTTATAAACAAACACACCCCAAGTTTTTGATCATGGTAGACTAGTGCATGCAAGTTAGTGAAGCTCACTAAATTCCTGCATAATAATCCTAAGAAGTTACCAAATGTGTGTCTTCTGATATATTTGTAACAGAAGGCGTTCCATATTTTTGCAAAATTAGATCACACACAGTACTTCAATTTTGTTCTTCTTCTGGCCATTCTGGTTATACTTATCTGCTATCGAAGGAGGAAAGTTGGGCTAAATGATATGTGGAGATTTGATAATTGAATGCATTTTGTATTTTCTTCTTTTCTTGTGCTTTCTCTTTTTCATTTTTTGACCTTTTTCTAAATTTCCAGGTTTACTCTATGGGTGTCTCTAGAAGTGACAAGTTCAAGACTGGTGTTGATCAAACTGTTGAGAAGTCGATACACAATGAGTATAATTCTGTTGTGACCTTCGGGAGACTTCCAGTCATGGTGATGTCGGATTTGTGCAGGATGAGCTCAGCTGATAAAAAGGATTGTGAGTTTGATCATGGGGGATATTTCATAATTAAGGGTGCTGAGAAGGTACTTATTTTTTTTTCTTTTTCTTTCAATAATAACTGAGCCATCAATGTTGTTAGTAATAGACTAATAGTACTGATTAAATTAGTTACTTAAAGCAAAGCATCTTCTCCCTGTTTCTTATTGCTTTACCTTTTCTGTTTGCTTCTGTTACCAAATTTCTCTTCCATTCATTTAAAAAACTTGAATTTCCCAAGTAAGATAAGAAGATACATTGCACAATCTTAAAATATTGGCAAGTGTTTTTTCTTCACTGACTGGCAAAATGTATACACACCTTTATTAATTATCCGATTGGCCAAAATGTGTTCATGCCAACTAATTTATATATATATTTCTCTCAATACTCGACTTGCAGACATTCATTGCACAGGAGCAAATATGCCTCAGAAGACTTTCAATATCCAAATACCCAACTTGGACAGTCGCATATCGGGCGGTTGAAAAAAGAAAACGAGTCTACATAAAATTAACCCCCAAAACCGAGAAAGTCTTGGGAGCCGACAAAATACTTGCGGTCTACTTTTACGTAACCGAAATCCCGATATGGGTTCTCTTCTTTGCTCTGGGCGTCACAAATGACAAGGAAATAGTAAAAATGATTAATATCGATACGGAAGATTCTCCCATTGCTAACATACTCATTGCCTCTATTTACGAGGCCGATATGAGTTTCGAAAATTTCCGCAAAGAAGGAAATGCCGTAAAGCACATTAGCAACCTCATGAAGGGATGTAAATATCCACCCGAGGAGACGGTGGAGCAATGCATACAGAATTACTTCTTTCCCAACCTTTGCAGCCTTAAGCAGAAAGCTTCTTTTCTTGCATATATGGTGAAATGCCTCTTGGAAGCTTACAGAGGGCTTCGTAAAACTGACAACAGAGATGATCTTAAGAATAAGAGGTTAGAATTGGCCGGCGAGTTATTAGAGAGGGAGCTGAGGGCTCATATCAAGCATGCCGAGAAGCGGATGATTAAAGCCTTACAACGGGACCTCGACAGGGATCGTGAATTGCAGGAGGTGGAGAAGTACTTAGATGCTTCTATTGTCACGAATGGTTTGTCGAGGGCTTTCTCGACTGGCGCGTGGTGCCACGCGTACAAGAGGATGGAGAGGACTTCGGGTGTTGTGGCGACTATCAGACGGACTAACCCTTTGCAGGCGATTTCTGATATGAGAAAAACTCGGCAGCAGGTTTCGTACACGGGACGGGTCGGAGATGCTAGATACCCGTGAGTCTCGTGTAAATCTTTTTTTTTTTTTTTGTGATTATTTCAGAAATGTGTATGAGTATTATTAGACTAGGGCTGCAAACGAGTCGAGCGGCTCGAGTATGTTATCGAGTCGATCTCGAGCCCGAATTTTCAGAGGTCGAGCTGCTCGTCGAGCGGCTCGAAATATGCGGCAAAATACTTAAATACCCTTTATATATGTAATTCACAAAATTGTCATGGGTGCATAGTTTATAGTTGTTAAAATTCGAGCCGCATCGAACCAATCTCGAGCAATCGAGTCGATTCGAGCATTTCCATTTGTTTCACGAGTCGAGCTCGAGCAATGAAAAAAAAAATCGAGCTCAAGCTCGATTAGGTCCATGCTTGACTCGACTCGCTTGCAGCCGTATGGACTAACTACTATATGTTATTTTGAACTGATTTCCAGTTCAAGAATGCTTATGTTGTGATTGTTGAAATTTTGATTTTGCAGACACCCATCTCATTGGGGTAAGATGTGTTTCCTCTCAACGCCCGACGGAGAAAATTGCGGATTGGTTAAGAATTTAGCAAGCATGGGAATCGTGAGTACTAGTATGCTAGAACGCGAGGGCCTTATCGAAATATTTCGTGAGTGTGGGATGGAAAAATTGAATGACGACACTTTAAATCTGCTCGATGGAAGGCACAAGATTTTCTTAGATGGAGATTGGGTTGGATTGTCAAAAGATTCCTCATCATTTGCTGCTAAGCTAAGGCGCAAACGCCGCAAGATGAGCTTTCTTCGTCAGGTGGGCCTCGATTTGCATCATAAAGTTCCATTTTTTAACCTTAAATGATACTAAACATACATAATCCTTATTCGTATAAAGTTCCATTTTATACGAATTTATTGCAAGTATATAAAGTAATTAGAAAAAAAAAAAGAAAAAAAAAAGAAAGAAGCAGGAAAATTTGCTAGACTACATATTCTTGTTAAATGATTTTATGTCAATAACTCTATGTCTTCACATACTGTAGTTTGAATTTTAATGTAAGAACCATCTGCAAATATACACATTTTAGTTTGTATATATAGTTATGTACAAATATGTATGCAAAAAGCATTAGGACCTGAGCTCAGTACGCTTAATGGTATGGGATTGATAAAAATCCTATGCTCTTATACCAACGGTATAAATGGGTGTTAATAACTCCAAGCTATCCAACAGGTATCACAACGAATTTTTTTTTTTCCCTGTAGCTTGAGGTCAAAAGAGACCAGCACCAGAAAGAGGTTCGCATACACGTCGATGCCGGAAGAATTCTCCGCCCACTGCTCGTCGTGCAAAACCTTAAAAAAATCAAAGATTTAAAAGGAGAATTCACTTTCGACACCCTTCTCGATAATGGGGTGCTCGAATTCATCGGGCCCGAGGAAGAAGAAGATTGCCACATTGCATGGGGCATAAAGTACCTCTTCACATCCAAGTTAGACAATTACACGCACTGCGAACTCGACAGCTCATTCTTGCTCGGCCTTAGCTGCGGGCTCATCCCTTTTGCTAATCACGACCATGCCAGACGAATTCTCTACCAATCCGAAAAACACTCTCAACAAGCAATCGGGTACTCCACTACGAACCCAGTGTTAAGAACAGATACAAATTCGCAACAAATGTACTACCCTCAAAGGCCGCTTTTCAAGACTATTCTCTCGGATTGCCTTGGAAAATCAAAATATGCCGATCGCCACAAAGGAATGTTATCTCACCCAGAATTTTCCAATGGCCAGTGTGCTATTGTGGCTGTTAATGTTCATCTGGGGTATAATCAGGAAGATTCTATAGTGATGAACTGTGCCTCTTTGGAACGAGGCATGTTTCGAACGGAGCATGTGAGGAGTTATAAGGCTGAGGTGGAATATTTGGACGAGGATAATATCGGGAAAAAGGTGAAATCGGATGAGATGATTAGCTTTGGGAAGGTGCAGAGTAAGTTCGGGCGTGTGGACAGCTTGGAGGACGATGGATTTCCGTTTTTGGGCGCGAATTTGCAAACGGGCGATATTGTCATAGGCAAGCATTCGGCTTCTGGGGTTGATCACAGTGTGAAGCTCAAGCACACGGAGAGGGGTATGGTTCAGAAGGTCGTGCTCTCGTCTAATGACGATGGGAAGAACTTTGCATTTGTGTCATTAAGACAGGTGATTTAACATTTCTTACATTT